CCCCAGGGTCAGGGTTAGGGCGGGGCTCTTTGATTATACATGTATAGTGAAAAAACATTAAATCTTTGAATATTTTCTTCTCTGCTCCTGGGTATTAAGCAGATGAACTACCTATATAGTTATGAGCAAGGGCCCTTATCTTCAAGAATTGTGAATTTCAAGGCCCCAGGGTCAGTTGTACCATAGAGGGGGGGGCTGTACTTATACACTGAAAATGAATGAATTGTATGAAATCTGCTCCTTGGTATTAATCAAATATTTTTGAAAAGCAAGGATGCCTTTTCAAAAATTGTGCAATGTTTGGATCTAGGCGTAAGAGTCAAGGGTTCATGTGTGGTAGCGGCACTACTGATTATTGCTGAATATTATTGATTTGTTGAAATGCATTTTTTGTTCCCCTACCCTGCCTATGGGTATTAAGTAACCAAACTAAGCAACTTCTAAGTGTATAGTTATGATGATCAAAATTGTAAATGCTATAGCATCTGGCTTAAAACATGGATCAAATTCAATCACTGGAAAGTTGTTGCATAATGCTCAGGTGACCTATAAGGCCCATGGGCCTCTTGTTTATATTATTGTATATTTGTTGCTTGTGCATCACGTTTATATAATTTTGTTATTTTGTTTGTATTGGAGAGGACACTTTAAGTTGACATAACTTTTGTCCAATCTCATTGATTATGTTTAATAAAATATGTTTAAATCAAATCAAGCTATTATTATTTGTTGTACGTAGCTTTTCTCAGCATAGAAAAGATCATCTCGAACTAAATGTTTGATTGTGAATGTTTTTAAAATTTACTCTAAAAAAGTATAACACTTTTACATGTATCCCAATGTTCTATTCCTCGTCTCCTTAGTTGAAAAAAGTTTTTTTCTTTTTTGTTGGGGGTGGTGGTGACGAGAGTAAAAGAATTAAGAAAATTGTAAAGAACGATGGCGCTTTTGACATTCGGCAGGAATATGGGCGTACTTGAAAATTCAAAACTTTATCGTCGTATCACCTGAATTTTTAATATTTTTAGGTCACCTGAGTCACTCAGGTGACCTATTGCTATCTGTTTTTGTCCGTCGTCGTCCGTCGTTCGTCGTACGTCGTTCGTCGTTCGTCGTCAATCGGTCGTAAACTTTTGAACATTTTCAGCTTCTTCTCTGCAACCACTGAACCAATTTCAACCAAATTTGGCACAAAGCATCTATGGGTAAAGGGGAACAAAAATTGTGAATTTCATGATCCCTGCCCCCCAGGGGCCTGGGGGGTGGGGCGAAAACCACTAAAAATAATGCAATCTTCAAAAATCTTCTTCTTTACTCCTGGACATCAAGCAGTCAAACTGTTTGCATGATTGTAATCAGCATTGAGTCCTTTACCAAAATTGTGAAATTCATGGCCCTGGGGTCAGGGGTTCTTGTACTAGGGCGGGGCTAAATAAGTATATAGTGAAAATGCATTATTTCTTTGAAAATCTTCTTCTCTGCTCCTGGGTATTAAATAAACTAACTAAGTACATAGTTATGATGAGCAAGAGTGCCTCTACCAAAATTGTGAATTTTATGGCCCCAGGGTCAGGGGTTCTGGTGTCAGGGCGGGGCTCTATTGATTATATAGAGGAAATACATTAATTCTTTGAAAATCTTCTTCTTTACTCCTGGGTATTATATAAACTAACTAAGTATATAGTTATGATGAGCAAGAGTGCCTCTACCAAAATTGTGAATTTTATGGCCCCAGGGTCAGGGGTTCTGGTGTTAGGGCGGGGCTCTATTGATTATGTAGTGAAAATACATGAATTCTTTGAAAATCTTCTTCTCTGCTCCTAGATTTTATATAATTTAACTAAGTACATATTTATGATGAGCAAGAGTGCCTCTACCAAAATTGTGAATTTTATGGCCCCAGGGTCAGGGGTTCTGGTGTCAGGGCGGGGCTCTATTGATTATATAGAGGAAATACATTAATTCTTTGAAAATCTTCTTCTTTACTCCTGGGTATTATATAAACTAACTAAGTATATAGTTATGATAAGCAAGAGTGCCTCTACCAAAATTGTGAAATTCATGGCCCCAGGGTCAGGGGTTCTGGTGTTAGGGCGGGGCTCTATTGATTATGTAGTGAAAATACATGAATTCTTTGAAAATCTTCTTCTCTGCTCCTAGATTTTATATAATTTAACTAAGTACATATTTATGATGAGCAAGAGTGCCTCTACCAAAATTGTGAATTTTATGGCCCCAGGGTCAGGGGTTCTGGTTTTAGGGCAGGGCTCTATTGATTATATAGTGAAAATACATGAATTCTTTGAAAATCTTCTTCTCTGCTCCTAGGTTTTATATAATTTAACTAAGTACATAGTTATGATGAGCAAGAGTGCCACTACCAAAATTGTGAATTTTATGGCCCCAGGGTCAGGGGTTCTGGTGTCAGGGTGGGGCTCTATTGATTATATAGAGGAAATACATGAATTCTTTGAAAATCTTCTTCTTTACTCCTGGGTATTAAATAAACTAACTAAGTACATAGTTATGATGAACAAGAGTGCCTCTGCCAAAATTGTGAATTTTATGGCTCCAGGGTCAGGGATTCTCGTGTTAGGGCAGGGCTGTATTGATTCTGATTATACATGTATAGTGAAAAAACATTAAATCTTTGAATATTTTCTTCTTTGCTCCTAGGTTTTAAGCAGATGAATTACCTATATAGTTATGAGCAATCCCTAATCTTCAAGAATTGTAAATTTCAAGGCCCCAGGGTCAGTTGTACCATAGTGGGGGGGGGGGGCTGTACTCGTACTTATGTACTGAAAATGAATGAATTGTTTGAAATGTGCTACTTGGTATTAATCAAATATTTTTGAAAAGCAAGTATGCCTTTCCAAAAATTGTGCAATGTGTTGATCTAGGCCTAAGAGTCAAGGGTTCATGTGTGGTAGCGGCACTACTGATTATTGCTGAATATTACTGATTAGTTGAAATGCATTTTTTGTTCCCCTACCCTGCCTATGGGTATAAAGTATCCAAACTAAGGAACTGCTAAGTGTATAGTTATGATGACCAGATTGTAAATGCTATAGCATCTGGCTTAAAACATGGATCAAATTCAGTCACTGGGAAGTTGTTGAATAATGATCAGGTGACCTATAAGGCCCAGGGGCCTCTTGTTTAATCTATCAGGTAATTCCCGTGAAACGGGAAAGAAAAATGTTCTTCCGAGAGTTTTGATTTGCTAAAAAATTAATACCTTGAAAATTGGCTAGAGCAGACATTTGGTACAAAATGGTACATTTTAAAACACGTTTTTAAAATCTATCAAAAAAATTTATCTCTGAGTCTTTTTTCTATGATATTGAAACGTTATTAGTGTTCATTTTAATTCAAAAATCCAACTGTGTAAATGTGGTGCTTCGCTATCCTTTAAATGTCCACTGTATGTGTAGAAGTGATAGCTCAGTAAGATATGCGCATGAAGTGAAAAGTTTTAGGTTCAAACATGGGGCGTCATTTTTTTATGCTCCCGTAATCGAAAATTCGGTGGATACCAACATATTAATTGACCTTTTGACCTTGGAGTTTGGCATATTTTTAAAAACAATGCTTTGCCATAACTTTTGAAGGGTTTTGACTAGGGCTTGCATTCTTCACTTATTTATCAATGTGACAAGACCTTTTATTGGATACCAAGAACTTTGACCGTTTGACCTTGGAGTTCGACCTACTTTTTAAAAACTTCAACCTTGGCCATAACTTTTGAACGGTTAGGGCTATGATAGAATGATAGAATGTTCTATTGTTAGAATGAGAAATGTCCAGTTTAACGATAGCATTCCTCCCGTATATTCACAATGCTGGGCGATAACCCGAACTCAGTGCATTTACTAAGAACAACTCAGAGAGTTGGTGGCGTCTCCATACGTGTGAAAAATTCTGGAGAGGGACGTTAAACAACATACAAAAAATGCATCAACAAGCAATTTTACCCAGAATGCACTGCAAAAAATTTAAGCCAATGAAAAAACCTGGGTTGATTTCAAATTTTATTAAATAAATCCAAATTGACAATTTCACCGTGATCGTATAGGTTTAGAAGTTTTCGATTCTGAAATTTGATCAGAACAGATCAATACACTTTTGTATATAAATGTTCTGAGGATGCATCCAAAAACAGAAAGAGTTAAAAGCTGAACTATCCAAAATAAATAAAAGTCCGAAAAATGATTCCCAAAATAGAATAAGATGCGAATGGAATAATGAGAGAGAAATTTGATAATTTGAGAATAAGAACGGGAATAAGAACGGGAATGCTCTTTTCTGACCAAAACAGGATATTTTGTCCTCAGTGGTTATTCATGGTCCCGGATATAAAACTGCATTTCATTGGTTGTCCCACCATTACTTACCATCTCCGCTTTGTCCGTAGATCTGTCCGTTGACCTATGAAACCCAACATGGCACCACCCTCAAATGCAGGTAAACACTCATTACTAATATCTTTGGGCTCAGTCCCCATCTCTACACCAAAGGAGCTCTAACCCTAAGCTCTTTTACTTATTTAATTCAAAGTTCCCGATTTTATTGCTCTTGGTCAAAAATCTTGGTAATACCTTTGCATTTCCGTTCAAATTTTATTACTTACTATCGATGGTTTTGATTGGTCTATTCGGATCAATTTCATTACAATGTGATTTACCAAATGATATTGCATTGGAACAAACAACAACAAAATTCAATTTGTTTTAACAAGATAATTATAGTTATCAAAATTAAATTCCTTTTTCCAATTATAAAGTCAACGAATTTGAGACATCAATAATATACATTCTGATTTAATAAACCTTTATATCATTTTACTTTCACCACTAATAACTAAAAATGGTAATGATATTCATATTGTCTAAGTTTAAAATGTTCAAATAATACATGTATGTCTGTGCTAAACCCTATAGATTTACAAAAATTACCATCTAGAACTTTGCCAGTGAACTATTTTCATTTCATTTCAGAACTTAGTCCAGGAATAACAGTTTTGAGAGGTTTACTGCTGCAAATTGTTTACCATAATGGGAGAGTCAAAATGTACATCAAGTGCTGATGTAAGTGTCATTAATTTAAATTAATGAAATCATCAATTTAAAATGTTTGCGTTGAAAAAGTTTTAATATAAAGACCGTATATCAGTTTTTCCCGCGTCATGTTTTAGCTCTAGAAGAGCTTATGTAATAGACAGTAAGGTGTCCGTAGTCCGTCCATATGTCTGTCTAACGCGCGTTACTCAATTTGTTTGCAGACACTGTTGCAGTTATGAGACTATATCTCAAAGAACAATGATTCATTAATTGCTTTATTAAAATAAGGTTGGAACGTAGCCAATATAATTAGCTTGTCAATAAGTAAACAAACAATAAAGCTAATACCTTTTATCGTGCGCTTGTCCTCCGATCGCGGTATTTCTACCCCCTACTATATAAGCGTAGAGAGATAACTGATCATTACTCCGAACTCTGTTTCAAGAAGAAAACCTTGTATTAAATTTACGCTGATTTATTTCCCGCGATTCAGAACTCACCAGTCACCACAAACAAAGCAGAAATTAGATACACGACGAAAAAAGGACTTACCTCAAAAAATTGTAATAATCTCTTGTGACAGAAAAATGATCTTTAAAAGGTCTTTTGCCTTTTTGTTTTTACATATATGTGCTTACTTTTATTTTGCAAAATACAGGAATAACTTATTTCATTCTCCAGGTTCCAAAATATGGCCGACTTGTCCAGTCGTTAGAAGAGTTTTACAAAATCGCCGAAGATGTAGCACACTTTGCTGTCAAAAGGTCCCTTGGATATTTTCATCATTATATTGTAGCTGGTTGGCATGATGTAAAGAACAACATTTTTGAGTATTACCTCTGTTTTAAGAATTTCTTTACTGGACCCGGACAGGTTGCAAAAAATAATATCTCCGAAAAAGAAATTGAGGAGGCTATAGCCGAGGAAAATTTGTACGTCATTGAAGCTCCAAATTATCCTAAAAATGAAGATGAAAAGAAACAAGCGATGGAGCGATGTTGGGCAAGACTTGGAGAAAAAGCTTACACATTGGCCAGCAATAACTGTGAACATCTCGTCAACTACATTATGACTGGGTCTCCTCAGTCAGAACAGATTATGAATGCCGGCTTTTGGACAATGGTTCTTGTTGATTCTTTCGACTATGTAATTTGTTATGGAAAAAGAAATTTGGTGAAGTTAGGCTCGTGTCTTTTGGCTGTGAAACCGGCTCCTGCGTTTGTCAAAATCGTAGTAAATGAAGTTGTGAACGTTGCTATAGAATTATCGTCCAGTCCTGTATCTAATGGAGCAAATTTAGCTGGTAGATGTGCCACCAATCTTTGCAAAGCAGCTTGCAAAACTTTGCAAAAAACTAAATCGCAGCTTCTGGCATCAAAAGAATGTGCCAACGTTGCCAAGGCGGCCAGCAAAGAGGCGCTGAGAAAAACTGCTGGCACAACTTTCATCATCACAGGACTTATAGAGGGAGTTATTGCCGCGTATGAAATTCGTAAACTACGCAAACGAAAGAAAAATGGCTTTCTTTCCAAGAGAGATTTTCATCGAGAGGTGACCAAGAGCGTTTCTGGTGCTGTTTCAGCAACCGCTGGTACCGTTGCTGGTGGAGTAATCGGACAGGCGATTTGTCCAATACCATTTGTAGGATTCGTTATTGGATCCGCCTTGGGTAATTATTTCGGGCGTTGGATCGGATCCGCCGCTTCTGGACAAGTCTTTGACATTATTACGTAACATTTTTTAAAGCTGGTCTACTCTCTTTCGACACCATTTTCAAACTCTAGAGTGATTTGAGTAAATGCGGGCATGAGCCCATATACATCTTGTAAAACTCGATTAATTTAAACCATGTCTCCATCAGATCTTTTTAGTTGTGAATATTACTTTCTTTTGCATGAGTAAATCCAGAATGGCTTGTTTGTATGAAAATTGGAAACTGTGCATTTTTTGAATATATATATACATGTACAGGTAAAAAGAAATAACCCAATACAGGTTAATTTTGAATACTTTTCTATTTTGTGATTAAGCAATTACCCAATAAAACTAACTGTTTAATTTTTGAAGCAGTCCAGCTGGACATCAAGTCTTCAAAATCATTTTCATATTATTTCATATTTAAGGTTCATTGATACTCTGATAAGAGAGATAACTCTTAATGGCATCACAGGATGAAAAGCCAGGTTTCCCAAATTGGGAAACCGGATGGAAACATATGGGAATCGTGACATCAGTAGTTTCCATATAGTTTCCATTTTATGGAAACCACATAGTGGTTTCCACATAGATTCCCGACATGGAAACAATCAACCTGTGGTTTCCCGTAAGTTTCCCAAGATAGGAAACCATGGAAACATGCCCCGGTGGTTTCCATGTAGATTCCCGACATGGAAACAACCAATCTGTGGTTTCCCGTAAGTTTCTCAGGACAGGAAACCATGGAAACATGCCTCAGTGGTTTCCATGTAGATTCCCGACATAGAAGCCACCAACGTGTAGTTTCCCCCATGTTTCCCACGTAGAGAAACTTTGAAAGTATA